TTCCGATAAAATAAACATTAACAGTGTTATCAAGGACCTAATCCGGTGGAGAGATCTCTCTAAAAGCCATTTAGGTCGTATGCAGATTTGGAAATAGGTTTTGCCCTATTTTTGTCACGAGAAACCCAATTTTGTACTAAATATAAATGGATTATATATATATTATATGTATATATATATATATATATATATATATATATTTATAATTTTTTATGAAGTTAAAAATTTCAAAAAGTTGAAAAACAGAACATGATTTCATTCTCTCTCATTTGAATATGAAAACATTCGAATAAAAATACGAATGAATAATAATTGACAGAATAAATATTCGAAATGTGAAAACAAAAATGTTATTTCTGCATTTGTAAATTTGTATCGTTTTATTTTGAATAAAATAAATAATGATTCCCATTTTAAAATAAATACTAGTGGTGTATGGCATCGTGCCTTAAGGCAAATTACTGGAACTTCCCGTACCGTAATAAAATATTCGAGAAATTTTAAACGTTTTCAAATATATATTACAAATACAGTAACTTTCATTATTTTTGCTATCTTATTTTATATCAGATCAAATCAAATGTAAATCATAAATCAATTTAGTTCAATCTCCAGAACATTAACAATCGTCATTTCATTTCGAATTAAAATTAAAAAAAAAATAGTTGCCTAATTACACAAAATTGAAAAAGTGCTCCCGTATAGTCACAGTCTAAGCGCATTTGCAAATAATTCTTAACGTGCAACATTTTCACTTATACTGTGCTTAGCTTGGCGGCATTTTCACATTTTTCAATAGTTATCACAAAATTAGTAAAAGTGCCCAAACAATGGTATTCTTAGTGAAAAAACATTTTGGAGTAATAATTTAAAATGACATTTTTTCAGAGTTGTATTTATAACTTATTTTAGAGTCAGAATAGAAATTTTTGTTCTTAGATTTGTAAAATCTACACAAAATTTATTATTAAATAGTGTAAATCAAAATTTTGTAAAATCTTTTATAAATATACTAAAAGTACACTAACAAGGCATTCTTGGTAAAAACGTTTTGGAGTAATAAAATAAAAATGACATTTTTTCAGTTTTGTATTTATAACTTTTTCTTAAAGTTGAAATAATTTTTTTTTTATGTAAAAAAAAGGTAAATTTTGCTATTAAATAATTAAACCCAAAATTAAATGAATAATAATTCATATTTTAAAATAAATATAAATAACGCAGAAAAATAACAGTTTGCTTATTGATTATTTAAGTACATTTTTTCAGTTAGGTATTATAAACTTTTTTTAGGGTCAAAGTAGAATTTTTGTGCTTTGACTTGTAAAATCTACATACATTTTTTTTATTAAAAAAAATATACAAAAATTTTGCAAAATACTTGATAATTTATCTAAAAGTGCTCAAATAATGGTATTCTTAGTGAAAACGTTTTGGAGTAATAAAATAAAATCACATTTTTCTGTTTTTTATTTATAACTTTTCTTAAAGATATAAATAAGATAAGATATAAATAAGATAGAATAAAAATTTTGGTTTATTTTATGTAAAATCTAGGTAAATTTTGCTAATAAATAGTCAAACAAAAACTGTACAACATTTTCTGATAATTATCTAAAAATGTCCAAACTTGTCATTTTGGTAAAAACAATTTGGAGTATGAAAATAAAATGTTATTTTTTCAGTTTGTATTTATAACTTTTTTTAGAGTCGATATAGAAATTTTAGTTCAAATTATATAAAATGTAGATAAAATTTGCTATCCAATAGTTTTAATAAAAATTTTGCAAAAATTTTGTTTAATGTGCTAAGAATGCTCAAACGAGGTATTTGAAAAAAAAACAAACATTTTCAAGAAGAAAATACAAAAACACTTTTTGTCAGTTTTGTACTCATAACTTTTTATAAAATCGAGATAGAATTTTGGGTTCTTAGACTTATGAAAACTAGATAAAATTTGCTATCAAACTGTATAAACCAAATTTTGCAAAAAATATATACGTATTTTATATACTTGACACAAACTGTTACATTATACATATACTCCATAATCAAAAGACATCTGTCCCCTTGGCCTATAATCTTTTATCCAAGCTCGTTTTTCAAAATTATTTCGCACAAACCTATTCTTTACACATTAAACAATATTTCTTACTACTTTTTTTCAGAATGAGACCCTAGAATTAGGCCCAAAACCCAATTATTTCGACGACAAGGTCTGGACTTTGGTTCCGGGGGTTGTTTACGATTCTGCAGAAATGGGCAAAGATTTCGGAGACTGCAAACGTCAGCCTAAAGAGACTTACAACAGGGGCGAGACTGCCAGTGCAGTATTTGTAAGTAATACAGATGATACATGATTTAATTACGTATTTTTTGGTGAAAGTTTGAGGGTTGTAGGTTTATTAGTTTAGGAGATATTTAGGAAACAGTGCGCTGAGTAACTTTTTTTTAATGAACGTCAGCCTAAGGACTGAAGACTTACTAAAGGCGTAAGTCTTTAAGTGCACAATTTGTAAGTACTAGAATTGATTTATAAATTAATTGTGTATTTTTTGGTGAAAGTTTGAGGGTTGTAGGTTTATTAGTTTGCGAGATATTTGGGAAATTGTGGAAAAATACGCGGGTTAAAATATTTTTTTTTAATAATAGTCAGCCTAAGGACTGAAGACTTACTACAGACGTAAGTCTTTTAGTGCACAATTTGTAAGTACTAGAATTGATTTATAAATTAATTGTGTATTTTTTTTGTGTGAAAGTTTGAGGGTTGTAGGTTTATTGGTTTAGGAGATATTTGGGAAACTGTGAAAATATGCACGGAATGTAATTCAGTGTTTTTTATGTTGACGATTTTTTCGCATTTTTTGGAATTTTTTCAAAATATTTTTAATATAAAAGCTTCAATTATTTTAAAAAATATTATTCAATACATTTTGTTGTATTATACATACTTTGTATATAAAATTCGTTCAAATTTTGGAAAATTTTTGCAAGATCTAAAGTTTTAAAATTTGTAAATATTTTATATTAAATTTAATGTTTTATATATGTATATTATATATTTTATATTTTTTCTCATTTTTTGGAAATTTTGAAAATATTTTAATATAAAAGCTTCAATTAAATTTAAATTAGTAGTATTTTATATTTTTTGTCAAATTCTACATATTTTGTACTAAAAATTTAATTGAAATTTTAAAAATTATAAACTCTAATTTGCAAAACTAGAGGTTACAAAAATTTGTAAATATTTTTACATTGAATATAATGTTTTATATATGTATATTATATATTCTATATTTTTTCGCATTTTTGGAAATTTTTAAAAATATTTTTAATATAAAAGCTTTAATTAATTTTAAAATTATTGTATATTAATTTCTGTCAAATTCTACATATTTTGTACTAAAAATTTTTATTTAAATTTTAAAATTTTGCAAAATCTAAGGTTCCAAAATTTGTAAACATTTATATATAAAATATAATGTTTATATATATATATATATATATATATATAATTTTATATATTTTTCCAGAAAGTTTTGACAAATACGACTAGATTACTACATAAGTCTTTCAAAAAAAGTTTTATCAACACAAAAAACTTTCCAAAAAGTATATTTTCTTTTAAAACTTTTACAAATAAGATATTTGTCAAGACGTCTAAAATCTTAAAGAAATATATTTTCCAAGTCGAGACAAGGATAATCTCTAAAAAGATTTATTATACAAATTTATGAACAAAAAAATCTAGGATTTGTAGGATTTACTTGAACACTGAGGGTTTAGAGTATAGGGTTGTGTCTAAAAATTCGATTAAAATTAATAAATGTCGATTTTATAATAATAATATTTGTGTAAAGACATCAGAAATCCTAAATAATCTCAAAGATAATCTCTAAAAAAGATTTATTATACAAATTTATGAAAAAAATCTAGGATTTGCAGGATTTACTCAAACACTGAGGGTTTAAAGTACGGAGTGGTATCAAAAAATTTGATTAAAATTGATAAATGTCGATTTTATATGGATGGAACCAAATTGATGCAACCGTAGGAAAAAGTGAATAAATATCAGTTTTATTTGTTTTTATTCGAAAAATTTGCAAAACTGTTCATAATTGTATTATATAATCATCTACTATATATGTATTATTTATTGTCCATTAATTTTAACAAATTTTCATAGAAATTTTAACATTTTCTTGAACACTGAAGGTTCAAAACAATATTACTCTAAATAATTTTTTCTAACAATTTTTTCTGGTGCAAATAATGGGTTTTTCGACTATTTTTCCCAGATTTTTATTTTTTTAAAAATATGTTTATATATTTCTGATTCTATTATTTTATTTCAGGTTTCAGGAAATCCAAGAAACGATCGTTTACATGAAAAACTTTCCTGAAAGTTGAAAGACAAGTCGAAAATGGTGGTTGGGAAACTGTTTTACAGATGCTCATTGGGATACAAAGTTAGTATAAAAAAAATTAATATAATATATAAATTTATTAAAATATTAAATATAAACTTGTTAAATGATGTATTTGATAGTTTTTAAAAGTTTGTGGTGATTTGAATTATTAAATCGGATAAATAGAACAAGTTTTATGGTAAGGATATGAAAAAAGCTTATTTGCAAAAGCTGGTTTCCAAAATGTTAATTTTATAAATTGCAATTTTGATAAAATATAGTTCCAACCTTCTACTATAGTTTGGCGTAACTAGAAAAAAATATTTACTAATTAAATTTTAGGAAAAAATGCCTTTGAACAATGAAGTGCGCAGTGAGCAAATTTATAACTACGGTTTGAGAAAAAATTTTTTACAAAAACTAGAAGTTGCACAAAGCTTATTTTTGGATATATGATTTATATAAACTTGTACTATATTTTGGTATATTTGAAAAAACTATTTTGAACAAAATTTTAAAAATTTTTACTTTATAGTTCTTTAGAGAAGTTCATATAAGAACTAAATAACTCAACTAAAAAACTCTAAAAGCTTTTTTTAAAACTAATAATTTCTAAAATTGTAATTTATATATAAAATAATAACAACCTTCTGCTTCATTTTGGTATATTTAAAATATTTAGTTACTTACAAAAATAAAAGTTATTAAATTCTAAATAATCAAGTCATCACGATATGAACAAAATTTTTTATTAACATATAATTTAATTATATAGAATTATTATTTTTAATTAAAAACTAAAATTCGTAAAAAGCTGTTTTTTAGATATATGATAATTACAATTTTCTAATTTTGATATATTTTAAATAATTTAGTTTTGAATAGTTTCTAAGAATTTTAAAGTACTAAAAACTTAAACAAGTTAGAGTTCCAAAATGTGTATATATATAGTTCATATATAGCACAAATATTTTTAAGTTTCTATTGCAATTTTTGAGTATATGGAATTGCTCTAGTGCCTTACAATATTAGAGAATATTATAGATTTAATTTCAAATAAATTTGCCAAATACACTATTCAGTTTAAACAGATATTTTAGGAGATATGAATTTTTTTTCCGCCAAAATGCACCTTTGCTATATGAACATAGGGAATATAGGGACCAAATTTTCTATTGCAATTTTTAAGTATACGGAGTTGTTCTAGAGCATTATAATGTTAGACAATATTTTACACTATTCAATTTTAAACAAATTTGCCAAATACACTTTTTAGTTTAAACAAATATTCTAGAAGATATAAATTATTTTCCCAAAAAAGGTACGTGTAGTTTGTAGCGCGTAGGAACTAATTGACCGAAATAATTGCATTAGTATAATATATTGTTTATTAGGTTTTATTAAGTTTATAAGTATACCGAGCTGTTGTAGGGCATTATGATGTTAGACAATATTGTATATTATTTAATTTTAAACAAATTTTGCCATATACACCATTCAATTCAAACAAATATTTTAGAAGTTATAAATTATTTTCCATCAAAATTCATATATTTTTTTCTATTTTCCAGGATGCACTGGAGAAGGATAAATCTGATTACAGGAACAAGTGACGTCACTGTCGAATGGACAATTTCTGATGACGTCACACCAGGAACATATCGTATCAAACATTTTGGAAACTTTAAATTTTTATTAGGAGGAATTTTCCCATACGAAGGAACCAGTAACGCTTTCCAAGTTTTGTAAAAAAAATCATAAAATTAAAATTTGACTGATGTAAAATGAATGAAATTTTAAAGGATTTTTGTATATATTTTCAATAATATAAGCATGATAAATGATAATTGATGTATTTTATTTATATATATATATATATATATATATATATATATATATACGGGTACAGAAATGTAAAAAGTTTTTGGAACAAGTGTATGTGTTTGGTAAATTGTTTATAACTACTAAAATATTAACGGAATATAAATAGCATATTTGGCAAATTTGTTTAAAATTGAATAATCTACAATATTGTCTAACATTATAACGCTCTAGAACAATTCAGTATATTTAAAAATTGCAATAGAAAATTTGGTCCCTATATTCCCCATGTTCATATAGCAAAGGTACATTTTGTCGGAAAAAAATTCATATTTTCTAAAATATTTGTTTAAACTGAATGGTGTTTTTGGTAAATTTGTTTAGAATTCAATAATCTACAATATTGTCTAACATTATAACGCTCTAGAACAACTCAGTATATTTAAAAATTGCAATGGAAAATTTGGTCCCTATATTCCCTATAGCAAAGGTACATTTGTCGAAAAAATTCATATCTCCTAAACTATTTGTTTAAACTAAATCATGTATTTGGCAAATTTGTTTAGAATTGAATAATCTACAATATTGTCTAACATCATAATGCCCTACAACAACTCGGAATACTTATAAACTTAATAAAACCAAATAAATAATATCTTTTACTGATTACTGACAATTATTTCGGTCAATTAGTTCCCCGTATAGTGCTGTCAATTAACTCTGTTTTCGACATGAAATCGACCTCAACAAATAGGTATGTGCACACGGCAATAAATTCCGGGAATATCGATAATATTATAATTATATTATAATTAAATTCTGATACATGAGTGTGCAAGCCTCATTAGATGTCGAATTCAACGTGAATTAATGGAAATAATAGTCTGAGAGCTTCGGAGATTGAATAATAACTCATATATTTTATATGAAAGCACTGTTTTTTGGTTAGATAGGGTGAAACTAAATAAAATTTACAATATTTCCTAGCGAACACTTTTATACTGATACGTTTCAAGAATTTAATTTATAGCTGAACAATATATTATTAGATTTTTTATATATGAATATGCATGCTTATGTTGCATTCTCAGTGAACGAGTTAAAACAGCAAATCGTGATTAACACAATTCGATGGCAAATTGAGAGTATTATATAACGGACTTTTTGAATTTTTAAAATATCTCAAAGCGTTCTCGAGATATTACATTTTTAAACATTTCGATTTCGCAGGATCCATATTGATTTTTACAACTTATACAATTTGCAAAGTGTAAAAATTCAATTTTGTAAAAACTATTGCAGATATTTTGGTGATTCAAAAAGTTGTTCTAAAAACATTTTCAATTTGCCATCGAATAGTAATACTCTCGATTTCCAATTTTCACTAATTCATTAAGAATATACATTATACATTAATAAATCTTCAGGATTTGGAGAAATAGTTAACAATACAAGTCGATAATATGTATTTTTATAATTAATTAATATATTTTTAAGATAATATTTTTCATGTCCGATTGTATTATTTGATTCTTTCTATATGAGTATGCAAATTTAAGTTGCATTCTCAGTGAACGAGTTAAAACAGCAAATCGTGATTAATACAGTTCGATGGCAAATTGAAAATGTTATATAAAAGACTTTTTGAATTTCTGAAATATCTCAAAGCATTCTCGGGATATTGCATTTTTGAATATTTAGATTTTGAAGGACTCATATTGATTTTTTTAGGTTCCCTAAAAATATACTGATTTATACGTTTGTGTAATACTTTATAATTTCTCTTCTAACTTTTGAACCGTTTGACATAAATTAATCAAATATTCAACAAATTTGTACAAAATTAAATAATCTATAATATTGTCTAACATCATAATGCAATATAACAATTATTTCACCAGCTCTCTCACTAAAACCGCACTCGTATGAATTTCGTATGCGAGTCGTGTAACATTTCGAACATAACATATTGATTGAGGCATATTCAACAAATAATTATTTTCTATGGAGAAAATTATACATATAAACAAAAATTTTGTTTTGAAACAATATAGGTAATTTAATTTGAAATAATTTTTGAAAAAATTAGTGGACAATATTAACGAGTGGAATGGATTTATGTAAAAATTTATGTAAAAATTACGTAATGGGTAAAAGAGCTATTTGTTTATAAAGGAAAATTAAATTTACATATTGTTACCAATTACATATATTGATTAATAGTTTTATTTGGCAAATCAAATATTGCTTTATCATTTGAATTTTTTTTACACAGTTTCATATATATTTTTTAGAGTCATTTGCAAATAAAAAAAGCTTTCAGCATTGTTTTTTGATAAAATTATTTTCAATTACAAACTTGATGAATATTTTGATTATTTCTATCCATTTGTGTTATTTTTAAGGTGTCTGGGTACAATTTGTGCCAAAATCAGATCATGATATGTTCTAATAATAAATTCAACAAAGAGATGACATTTGACAATATGAGATTTAGTGCAAGATTTTTGGAAATTTGCCAAAAATAATGATAAATCTATAATATGAGCATGTGCACATTGATAATATATTTGAATTTCATGTCAGAATTGAACTTAGATTTGATTTATGTGAAAATGTAACTAAGGTTAAAAAAATCTATATTATTTAAATTTTTAATTTGTTCGGTTAACATGGTCTTAAATTGTTTAGGATTTTTTGAGTAATTTTATGCTGATGAAGAAGTTATATATTCATACAGATTCTATATGAATTCTAAATTTATAAGTGAGAAAATATATCGATTGAACTGTTTATTCCTTTAAATAAATTATAAGACAATTTACTAATTGAGAAAATCGTTTCTTTGAAAATGGTTTGTTTGAAGTCGTCGAGTAAATTATTGATCGATTTTAATTGAAGAAACCTCTAAAGGACATTTAATTACTAATACGTTTATAATGAGGGTTCATAAGCAAATACAACCCTGTATGAATAAATACATACATATATATATATATATATATATATATATATATATATAAATAAATACTAGCAATTCATCAACCCCTATAGTGAAAATATTTGTTTGAACATTCATAACTTTTAAACCGTTTATCAAATATAAATAGTATGTTTTACAAATTTATGCAAAATTAAATAGGTTTTAAAGTTTTCTAATATTATATGACCCTACAGCAACTCGGTTTACTTTAAAATTAAGATTGAAAATAGAAAATATATCTGTGCTATTTTTTGCATGTATCTGCGCTTTTGTTTATGATTTTTTTTGTAAATTTTAAAATTTTTCGTCAGAAGTAAATAAAATATTTGACAAATTTGTTCTAAATTTTGCAATAAATATTTATGTCTAATATGAAATAAACCTTAAGCAACTCGGTGTACTTTAAAATTAAAATTAAAAATAGAGAATCTTTCTGTAATTTTTTTTGCATGTATCTGTGCTTTTATTTATGATTTTTTCGGTAGCTTTTAAAGTATTTGTCAAAAGTAAATGAAATATTTGACAAATTTGTACTAAATTGTGCAATAAATATTTGTGTCTATTACAAAATAAACCTAAAGCAACTCGGTATACTTTAAAAATGATATTGAAAATAGAAATATCTGAGCTTTTTTTTGCATGTATCTGTGCTTTTGTTTATGATTTTTCTTGTAAATTTTAAAATATTTGTCAAAATTAAATGAAATATTTGACAAATTTGTACTAAATTGCACAATAAATATTTATGTCTAATATGAAATGAACCTAGAGCAACTCGGTATACTTTAAAACTGATTTTGAAAATGAAAATATCTGAGCTTTTTTTTGCATGTATCTGTGCATTTGTTTAGTATTTTTCTTGTAACTTTTAAAATATTTGTCAGAAGTAAATGAAATATTTGACAAATTTATACTGAATGGTGTAATAAATATGTATGTCTAATATGAAATAAACCTAGAGCAACTCGGTATACTTTAAAACTGATATTGAAAATAGAAAAAATATCTGAGCTCTTTCTTGCACTAATATGTGCTTTTATTTATGATTTTTCTTGTAACTTAAAATATTAGTCAAAAGTAAATGAAATATTTGATAAATTTATACTAAATTGTGCAATAAATATTTATGTCTAACATAAAATAAACCTAGAGCAACTCGGTATACTTTAAAATTAAGATTGAAAATAGAAAAAATATCTGAGCTCTTTCTTGCACTAATATGTGCTTTTATTTATGATTTTTCTTGTAACTTTTAAAATATTAGTCAAAAGTAAATGAAATATTTGACAAATTTATACTAAATTGTACAATAAATATTTATGTTTAACATAAAATACACCTAAAACAACTCGGTGTACATAAATATTGCATTTGAAACCAAACGTTTAATTCTTTCTTCTATTTCTGGTACAATACCAAAATTTCTATTCAACCCTCAGTGTTCTGGTTTTTCCAGCAAATTCTAATAATATCTTGAATCAATAAAAAATGCTACATCGTCCTATATAGAATTGTACGTTCTTGTGGTATTATTATGACTGTTTTGTAATTAACTTGTCTAGGAAAATCGTGTTTTGATTTCATGCCATGAATTTAATCAAATCTGTTTACATTGTCTGACTGAAATTCTCTCTCTCTGTAATTATATATATATATATATATATATATATATATATATATAATAAAGACTTTGTTCTTCAAAACATTCAAAATTTACTTTGATAAATTTTAAGAACAAATCTCTCTTCTCAAAAGGTTGTATGAGTCGTGAAATATCTTTGTGTCTTTTTGTAAAGTTTTTGAAATAAATAAAAAAATTGTTCAGAAACATATTTATTTTAATTTTTGCTAACAAAGTATATATGTTTAAAATTAACATACTAAAATTTCAAACCTTTATTTCAATTCATGTGGTCTGAAGAGCGCATCAAAATTTACAATAACAAAATAAAACGATTTTTTTCATGCGCATTTGTAAAGCAAATCGTGAATTACTCCCAAA